ATATATATATATATGTATATATATGTATATATATGTATATATATATATATATATATATGCAACAATACACTCAAAACCTGTAATGTCACACACACGCTTAACAGGGCTCGTTCGGCTTTCCGGTGGTGAAGGTGGCGGACTTTGGGCTTTCGCGCGAGGTGGATTCCTCGTCTAATTACTACCGAATGGAATCGACCGGGCGTGTTCCGGTAAGAAAGGCTATTGTGGTCATGTGTACCATGACCAGACTGGAGTGTATATGTGTATATGTACTTCTCTTATTGTTGCATACTTCTATATGCCGCTTACAGCCATATATAGTTGTGTACATGCGTGTTTTGGGTAAGCTTTTAGCCATCTATACTCTTATGTGTACTGCGTGTTTTGATCCATTTCCCAGTACTTGGTTTGGTTGTGTATTCGTTCAACATCGCACTGGAGTTGTGTACTGTGTGTTTGTGCATGTACTCACTTTTTTATGTGCTCTTTTTGTTTCCTCTTTGTTTCAACTGAATATTTATTATCTGATGTTTGCGGTCAATGTCGCTTACAGTACCCGTATAACTGATACCACTCCAATTTTTAACCGAATGTACCCAACTATATAATCTAATCATACTCCAAACCTCACCTGCACCACGCCACAGGTTCCGTGGATGTCTCCGGAGGCGCTTGAAGAGGTGAGCTGTTCGGTACATGTTTCCAGTTGTGTTGTCTGACTCGCAGCGGACAGCCAGCGTGCATACGTGCATGTGAGTGCTTGTAGTGCCTATGTTGCGCGTCTTGTATGGAGAATGTTTTTTTTAAGCGGTCGATGTGGTGTATAGTTACTTAGCATTTCCGATCACATGCGTGTATCCAAGCATATATTAATATATTGGGATTCTGGTATACCATTCCGAAGATATAGACGTCGGAGGTGGTACTTCTTTGTCTTTCAATACTGCTTGGTGTCCATCTCAGTTGCACGGACCTGCCCTTTCAACACTCTAACATACGACCCATCCGACAATCTCGACTACGATAACACTCTCCATCCGCCCCTCCCTCTCCCTCTCCATCTCCACCCTAAACTCTAAACCCTAAACCCTAAACCCTTAACCAACCGAGGCTACCCACTACCATCCGACAAGCCCTACTGCGATAACACTCTCACTCACTCTCCCACTCCCTTTCCATCCCCACCCTGACCCTGCCATACCCCACAGAGGAAGTTCGCGCAAAGCTCAGACGTATGGTCGTTCGGGGTAACCATGTGGGAGATCTTCTCCAACGCCAACACTGTGCCGTATGCGGGACAGAGTTTCTACACGCTGTTGAACTACATCAAAACGGGAGGCCGGTTGCTGAGGCCCGAGAACTGTCCGCAGGTACGTATGGGCCCAGGTTTCCTGTGTCATGTATTGTAGGTGTTTGTATGGTCTGCGTATACCGGGTGTTTGTCTGACTATATGTCATGTATTGTAGATGTTTGTCTGATCTGCGTATACGGGGTGTTTGTACGACTATATGTCATGTATTGTAGGTGTTTGTCTGAACTGCGTATACGAGGTGTTTGTACGGCTATATGTCATGTATTGTAAATATTTGTCTGATCTGCATATACGGGGTGTTTGTATGACCTGTATTGTAAATATTTGTCTG